CCCCCTCGCCTGCCTCCACGGCTACGACCACGGCCTCCAGCCTGACCACGTCTACCCCAGTCCCTCTCCTTGGATGGCTTAGGACACATCTGTCTCAGATACTCTACCTCTCCGCAGTTAAAGCACTGTCTAGTCTCCCCTCTGAATCCAGTGTTACATGGGTTGAAGACCACCAGTGCAGACTTCTCCCCTGTAAGTTCACCTGTCCCAGCCAGTAGCCTGATATGGCTCTTCTCCTGTATCATGACCAAGACTGCCTCCTCCAGTGGTGGGATCTTTGTTTGGATTAGTAGTAATGCCGTCCTCTGCTCATACGCTGGAGCTAAGCCTCGGAGGAATAACATGGTCCTCTTCTACAAAGAGGTTTCGCGCTCCTTGCACTCCGGCTCCTTGCAGCTTGTTAGGAGCGAAAAATGATCGTGATCGAACCACAAGCGCTCCAGCTCTGTGGCGTACTCCTGTACAGTCCTCTCTTTCTGGACTGTAGCGCTGATCTCCTTTTCGATTTGGAATACCCTTAGGTTATTTCCCACCCCATCGTAGGTCCTTCTCAGCTTCTCCCAGACATCCTGCACCCTCCCAAGGCCATCCACTGTGGCAGCAATAGGCTGGACTACAGAATTCAAAAACCAGATGTACACCAAAATATGAGTGGACTTCCACTCATCTATTTCTACGGAGCCCTCAGTCGGTTCAGTCTTCTTCCTTGTTAGATATCCCTCCAGGCTCCTCCCGACAAGGGTATATTTCACCCGTCGCGACCAACTTAGATATATCGCGGGTCCATCGAGCTTTACATCGATAGGTGAAAACTCCACCTTCTTGGGTGGTGGCTTTGTCGAGCCCTCACCCTTCAACAACCTCATCAGTTGCATCAGTGTTGAGATCTCATCAGGATTCAACTTTTTGATGATCTCCTCCATCGGATTTTTGCCGGTCTCCGTCATCGATCCAACTTGTATTCTTGTGATGCGTAGCGAAAAATCCGGCAACACTTCGACAGCACAACAAGAAAGTTAGATCAATAAGAATTCTTATTTTACTAAGAAAACAAGAACCAAAAGCAAAATATCTCAACAAGGTGAGATATCAGCTCTTCCTCTCATCAGTTCGAGGACTGGCCTGTCGAGGGAACCTAAACAAGCTATTACAATTCGAGAAGGAAAAGGAGTCATCTAATACGGATTACAGATTTTTTTTCTTGGTTCTAATCAGCACAACAGACAAATCTCCCTTTTTTCTTCTCTAAAAAATAAACTCCCCACGACAAACAAATCCCTTTTTTTTCTTCTTCTTCTTCCCCTACTCCGGCATGGGCCACCTAATCCTAATCCTCGAGCTCGCCAAGCTCTTCGTCACTGACTGTTTCTCTGTCGTCGCCCTGGTCGACTCCCCGTTCTCTCTCCCCCCCACCAGCTCGTCCTTCATCGCCGCATTCTCATTGGCCCACCCCTCGATCTCCTTCCACCTCCTCCTGCTCGATTAAGGACAGAATCCTTCACAACGCCATGGGAGATCGGAACAAAGGGGTCGGCATCGACGAGAGAACCAAGCCTTCTTCAACGACGTGTCCTTTGCGAGATCTCCGGCTAAGGCACCAGCGAAAGCTTCGGCAAAGTGTCCGACGAAGAAGGCTGCACCGACGAAGAAGGCTGCACCGACAAAGGAGCAGATTTGGGTCTGCTGGCGTTGGAGATAGGTTTGGTCGGGACTTCGGCTGACGTCGTCTTCGTTGTCGACGAACTTGGGAATGTCGGGAAAGAAATCGTCGGGTTCACCAGACAAACGGAGAGGCGGCTAGGTTAGATAGCTCTGATACCATATTGAGAAATTAGGGCTTCAAGTTATCCTTCATTGATAGAATTGTTGGCTTATATAGCCTTACACACATTTACACAAAAGCCCTCTAACACTCTTTAATTACATTACATTCTCAACA